AGTTTTGCGATATTAAAGACAGTTTTTCTTATATTAGAGTATATAGGTCGGAGATATTGGTGAAGTTTACGAAACATAACAAATTATTCAACATTTGCGACATCACAAAATCAAATTCGGAATTTAGTGGAGGAATCTACAAACTAATCTTCTGAAAATTCTGTTTACGAGAACTATCGTTAGAGAAACCAAAACAATCAGGTTTTATCAGATCCCGTTGAAATTCGATCATTTCTAGATGTTTCGTGTCGATAATAGGCAACCCTTGACACCTCCAGGGACATCCTGATCAAGTGAACGGTCATGGTTTCTATTTCACTCGCACTGCATTTTTTTTTATTGTTTGTACGTATACACCACATTACGTTTCACTGCTGGATGTTTTTCTTTCACGAAACGTTCAGTTACGAAAATCGGACAAAAGTTAGATTATCCGATTTTATAAATAATTTGTTTGTAGAGGGTAATCTTCGAAAATACAAATCCGATAATTAAAATTATTTCACCTACGGGAATCTACATCATACGTGGGTAATATACGGTAAATTTAAAACAAATGAATATCGTTTCAAAATCGTATAAGAAGACTTGAAGTCATTTAGAGAAATCGCGTGTACGCAGTGAGAATTCTAATAGCAGTCAAAATACTCAGACGAATTGTAAACGCATTTTATAAATAGACAATTAGGTTGAGGTGGCTTGTCAAACGGTGTATTTATCGTGGCTCTGAAGAGGGCAGGTGGACATCCAGTAAACAATGAGTTCATTAGAGTGAATGCCTTCGTCAACACTACACTATAAGTATTGTTGAACTCATTAAGAAACCTCGAGAAGGTTTGGCAGACAAACAAATTCTGTGGCGATCGTTCTAATTATTTATGACCGTGTTTTTTTTTATAGGAATGATGTACTGATGACTTATTTTAGTTTTTTTGTCCTTCAGATAGATTATTGAAAAGTATTAAACACAATTTATTTTTATTTTTTCGTCACCTTTGTACATTTTATACATAGTTGTGACGTCACTAGCCCCCACTCGTCAACATTAATCCTAATTTCTTATTAAATAGAAACAAAAAAATATTTATCTAATATTTTTTTACTTTTACTGACGGACTAAATAGATTTTTTTTTATGTATTCATTATTCCTCTTGTTTTTAGATTAAAAAATTAATATTCTTATTTTAAAATAAAATTATTGCTGATTGTTATTAAAATTAGGAATTCTAATTGTAGCATATATATTTTATCTTACTGCCTTCTATATTCGTTTGCAAAGTAAGATCATCCTCAAATCTAATAACAGACTAGGTTTTTTTTATATCATATTCAAATTAGAATTGTTAATAACATAATTACACATATCATACACCACGGCATTTATGATGTAAATATTATTCCAATTATAGTTTTGTTAATGAACTTTTGATAGCAATATTATATCATTGACTTGTGAAAATAATTTATATAACAAAATACCTAAAAGTTTACATAAATATATAATACTAGCTGTTTTCTCGCTATATCGCGTTAATTATAGCCTATGTCAACCCCGTACGATGTAACTACCCGTAGGTGAAAGAATTTTCAAAATTGGTCCAGCAGTTTTACAATAATCGAAACAAATATGAAACAAGCAATCGAGTTTTTCCTTTTTATAATATTAGTATTGATATTTTTCCGTTCTTGTTTAACTTATTTTTCAGGAGCTCCTTCATAATACGATCCTTATTATATGTCTATAATGTAGACATAAGACATTTCTATCGTTGTAAGGACTCGCACACGAAGTAAGTATAATAATATATAATACTCAAAAAAAAATTATAAAGAATAAGAAACCCGTCAATTATAAAGAATAAGAACATTTTATCGCGGCTTCAGTACTTTATATGAAACTTTTTTTTTATAACACTTATTCTACTTTTATTATTTCCTGTACATATAATAAGGTATATAAAGAGGGTTTATGTCGTCAATATAAAAAGGAAACACTTTTCAACTTAAAAGAATCTACCTAGGGAAATCAAACGATAAAAGTTCGCAGATTTTACTCTAGGAAACTTTCAGATTTAAAACTTCGAGTGATTCTTCTAGTCACGTGTACTTAGGAGTAATATTATTAAGTATTTATTCCTACTATTTTTTATATCGCTTTCATTCAATCTTATCTGAAAACAAAACTATTTAAAATTCATCAGATTGTCGGTCCGCTGTATTCGACTGAAGAAATTCATTTGTCTATTTCTCTATGGTCTAGGAAAGTTTTGAAAATATAGGCAACACTTGATGAACATAGCCTATAATTTAAGCGGACGAAGTTACGGGAAAACAGCTAGTGAATTTCTAGAGACAAGATTTGATTTTTTGCTTTGAATAGGTTCCGAAACTATTGCACTGATTTAAAAAAAATCTTTCATATACTTAGAATATTAAAGAGAAAAAAATTCTACGCCAAGTTTTTTCTCAAAAGAAAATATAACATGGGTCTATAACTAAACACAATGTGTTTTTCCTGTCATCATTTCTTCGATTTCTAAACCGGAACTTGGGATCCATTACAACATACATGTTTCGGAGTAACGACGATTTTATTGAATTTATTTAAATAAGTGTAGGGCATCAACTAAATTAGATTTGTAAAGATCTAAATCGAATTCAAAAAATAGTACGAGATAAGCCAATGGCATCACTGCAACATTGAAATTACTAGGGTTAAGTAAAAATTTATCGTAATAATTTCAATTTCGTTTTATTTTTACAAACATTTTAATGGTTTATATTCAAATTACAATTTTAATATAAAAATTTATTTTGACTGTAAGCTATCAGCCTCGGTTATTTTCATTTGCCAGCAATAAAAGAGAATGTAAATTAAGTTCTTAAATCTTTTTTTTATATAATATATCTTAATCAATTGTCGTTACATATGTTACATATGTTGGTTACATATGTTGGTTCTATAAAAATTAGCGCTTAATGGCGCTAATTTTTATAGAAAAAAAACAACCAACGAATATTTAGCGGAATTATGATTCTTCTACATTTAAACTTTAATGTTTTTTTATTCTCTCTCTCATTGGCATTTTATTATATTTATTAATACTGATTTCTCTACGAGTAGGTGGACATATAGTTAGAATCCATTAATCCTATGTGGAACATATATCCGACGTACAGCATAAAGCCGACAAGTGTCAATATTGGTACTTAAATACACAAACTTAATGCATTCGATGTTAAAATAAAGTATTATAACATCCTGTACAGTATGATTATGGTGACTTATGTGATGGCGTCTTGCTCATAAAACTGCATCGAAGACATAAAATCACGAGGCCTATGATGTTGTGTGTGCTGTACCTTAGAAACAGAATATAACATGCTATACTTTTGTTGGTTCTAATTATATTTACGTACTAGCTGTGCTGTGCAATTATGCTGCTGACTGTACCAAAATTATTTTAAAATCGAGTGGATTTGATTTAAGTACATTATTTAGACTAAAATCATTTTGAGGACCAATAAAACAGTGGCTTTGGAGTCAAATGGAATAACCCCAATATAGGAAGGCTTAATGCGTGTTTTCCGAGAAAGTAAATTTTTGGTCACTTAAGGTTTAATGAAGCCTTTTTGATCTAATGAGTGTTCTAAATTTAAAAATTTGTATCGGTAATGTCACTCTAAACTAATGACATTTTTAATTTAATTGACTTTTGTGCAATGGATACTTAACCTCCGCAATTGCAGACCCAAATAAAGATGAACTCTAATGATGTAGTGGTTAACCACTACATCATTAGAGTTCATCTTTCTACAAGTTCTACTTGCATTAAATGTTTGCAAAGCTTACAAAGGATGTTGTGGTACCTTCATTGTTTCAGTTTATTGTAGTTTGGAATTACTTAGATTACTTAGATTCCTTAAGATAGATCCCTTTGCTCAGAAGCTGCCCAGTACGAAAATAAACCGCACGATTTCTAAAAGTTTTTTGAATATATTAAGATTAGCTGTGTGCTCGCGATGCGATGTAGCTAGTAGCTACACATTGGTAAAATAATTTTTAAAATCGATCCAGTAGTTTTTAAGCCTATTCGATGCAAAAAACAACCACTCAAATCTTTCCTCTATAATATTTTTGAAGTCGGTTTTATTTTTAATTTTTGTCGCTGGGTTTGCCAGTTATATAAAAATTTGCCGTATGTAATGTTGTCTAATATCTAATACATGCATATTTTATTAGCAATTGCCCGCGAATTCGTCCGCATAGTTAAAAGACCATATTAGGACATATAGGGTAAGAGTTACTATTTATCTACATCCTAAAAACAACACCTATGCAATCAATCAATCATTTATTGCATTAAATATGGTGCGGGTGCAACAGATGTCATAAAATAAGGGTAACACATATTTACTGTATGATAGTAGCCAATAGTTTTAGTTTGTAAAATAGCATTGCTTTTAATTTATAATTAATTTACATTATAACCTATTAATGCATTAACGTTATTATTATTTTATTCGCACATCATCGACTTAATACATTTGATAAAGCTCCTATTATATATTATTTCGATCTTATAATTTAAAATTATTAAATAGCAATAATTTCAAAAGTAAAATTATTTTACATGTTACAATAATAATGAGTCGAGTATGCTTTATATATAAATATATGTCAATTACAAAATAATTTTATTATACATATTATAAAATATGTCATTGTATAATATAGCGTCATTTACGTCACTAAAATTATTTGCATCCCCAATATTCCTCTATCGAGAAAATGTTTTGCTCAGAAACCACACCGTCAAAGCCTTTTTTAAAAAGTTTTCTTTTTTTAATCGGCAAAATCTGAAATTCCTAGCACTTATCGTAACGAAGTTTCATACAAATTATAGACTCCAAACCAATCCCTTGGGGGTCAAATTCCGCAAAATCCTGTCTCGACAAGCGCCTATTTTATATTATATAGATTTATTATATGTGTTAGATGTGGTGGGCGGTGTGGTGTGCGGTGGTAGCTGCTGGTGCGGGAGCAGCGTCTGCGCCGGCGCCCGACTCCATCGCACCTCTCGACTTGGTACAAATGGACTCTCAGGCGACTGACGATGTAAGCACAGTCTACTTCCTACATTATGTTCTTTTTAAACGTCACTAGATGGCGCTGCAAGTGTTTTTATTTTGCTTCATTTTAGGTATTATTATAAGTTTAACTGTACCGAAATCAAATATATCGTGAATTTCATGATGCTCTATTCTATTTTACTGCATTAGAATATACGTAAATTAATTACGTCACCGAGCTAATACCCCAGCCATTTGCTCCGTCTTGCCTGCGCAGTCCGAATATTGTGGAAGTATAACTAACTATATATAAAGACTGAGGAATAGTATGTACTGTTAAGCTCTTAACTTGATGATATAGTTTTTTTCTGTCGGGATATTTCTTCTTTTTAATTTTCTACAATGGATAATGCAATACAAGTGTTAGTATTCTTTTGCCAAGTTTGTAGTTTATTTTGTGTACATTCAGAAATTATATTGTTGAAATGACCGAGCACACATCGCAGGTAAAGCCGAACTAACCAAATTTTTGCAGTCCTATCTTCAGCATGTCACGATTGCAAAAGTTGAGCTTCCTGCCTGCGCGAACTGAGCTTAATCTGTTTGTCTATGAACGAAATTTCACAATAATATCCGTATAGATTATCTATGCATCAGAGGCAGTGCCAGGTCCTACCTCCGATGCATATTAAGATAAATTATCTAAAATAGTCTCTTTGGAGTCATATTAGAGTTCAAAAAAAAGACGTATGGCATTTTCGGGCAATCAGGTTAGGCTTACTGGATTGTGCATACAAACAGGCTTGCAGAAATATAATACTTGCAAACAATACTTGCAGGTAAGACAAACCAATGTATAAAAAGGTCGATAAAGGCAAATTCCACATACGTTTCTGAGGTCGCATCAAGTATTTATCGTGACGGCGTGTCCTGTATCAAAATTAGTTGGGGAGCTGTTAAAAATTTTTGCTTACACTCGTTAGGGGTCCTTGTAGTCCAGGGAGGGGATCATTGATACAGCTGACACGGCGGTAGCTACTCCCCTGGCTGTGAGTTATTTATAAAAACGAAACGCACAGCATTGAAATAAAAATAGTGAAAAATATTACAGTAAATAAATACAAAATGGATGTTTACATAATGATTTCAGTTTGTTTTGTGTTATCTCGATCCATAGTCGCTTGGTCGAGGCAAAACAAATACTTGGTATGACAAATATTTTTTTCTTGTTACAATTCTCACTGTGCTCGTCGTGCGGAAAATTGTCATCGTTCTGCCGCCAATTGGGTAGAAACACTGTGTGTGTGTTTAGGTGACAACCCCAATTGTTTTTATTACAATAAACTTCGTTTTTTTTTTCATTTTGTAGAGATTTTATCAAAACTCTTTTTGTAGAATATGTATTATTTTTATAAAATAATTTTAATGATCAATTACGTCGCAGGTATGTAGAGCTGTCAGGTTAAAACAATATGTCTAGTTTGTGTAATGGATTTTGACCTCTACCCTCAATATTTTACACTGACAAGGGAAATTTAACAGTTTCGTTTACCAGTGTTAAGGATAGCTCGAAATAAAGGATTTATGATGATAAACTGGAATTTAGGGAATCAAAATGAGAAAACCAGGCTGAGTGACGACTGTAATTTTAAATATAAAATCAATAAAAAAGTAAAAAGGGCTTTAAAAAAGGATGGTTGGATTTATTCAATATTGGTAATAACCAGTATCGATAAAAGTTCCCATGAGGTTTTGTTCATAGTAGGAATTACTTTTCTAAGGAAGTTAATATGCTCAATTGTGACTCATCTGTTCTCTGCTCACTTGTTTTATTATCTGAGATGGTTCACACTTAAAGTGATGGATGACAGGGATGTAATAAAACAACCTTCTTGCTTTATAGCATTCAAATGAACGTCAACCGTAAGGTGAATCATAATATTGGCTAAAAAGTAAAGAATTTGTTTTCAATCTGCTTAATCTACATATCTCTAGATTTTTCTTATAGGTATCTAAGAGACCAATTTTAAGGATTGCCTCATCCATAAGGTAATACCACTGATATTTTTTTTTTAATAGCTTCCGTATGGTTCCCAGGAGGGCATCAACTACGGTATTCCCCCGATGGGCAGTCGATACGCTTCAGGCACTCCCTGGCTGTACCTCCTAGCAGAGATGCCGCGTGAATCACAGGTACCTATCATGATATCCAAAACTAATTATTACATACATCAAACAAAGTATTCCAAAAGTATATATAGAGCTTACTTGAGTACATATCATAATAGCCGATAGTATTTTTATCGCAGTATATATTTTATCATAATTTTCTTCTTAAAACCTAAAGGGATGACATATTTTTATGTAAAAATGACATAATAATATATATCCATAACCAAATTTTGAGGTCAAATACGTCCTAACTCCGTCAGACAAAAGCGAATAATTGTTCGCAATTAAGGTTTTTTACATTCCCTTCCTTAATAATTAAAACAATCAACTGTCAGCAGTCTCTGTAAATGAAACCTTTTCGTCCAATTAACCACCATCTTGAAGTTTGACGACATTTTTATATGTCCTGAGTTTATTATTTGTTCTGAGAACACATCAAAAGACAAACTTATAACACCCCTCTTTTTGCGTTGGGGGTTAAAAAGGAAAGATGTCAGTAGCAAAATATACCAGATGGATATGACCAACATCATCCAGGCATTGTGTCATTAAAAGCTTTCATAAGCTCTTAGGTACTGTTCTTTTTTCTATTACGCCAATGATAAAAAAAAAGTACCGTCACGACTGTTGGTAAAATTGTATAGCGTGTGACTTTAGAGAAGATAATATACAAGTGAAAGATAATATATAGAAATACAGATATTTCTATTTTACACTAAAATTATGCTAAAATATAAGTAATGATTCATTACGTTTATCTTTTTATTAAATCAATTCTTATAATAATTCATTGAGTGCATGTCACATGTTTTAGTAGGTACGTCTGCAAGGGTGTAAAAAAAAAATCAATATTGAGATAAGTTAGCAGAAACTTCATACACCTATGAACCACATTGTGCACCAGTATATTATATTTCGTTTTAAATATATTGTAGTATAGTTATCTTTGGCCCTTAAAATCTTGTTACATAAAATCTCGACGATAAAAGATGGTTTGCGTTCTTCTAAGATATTATGTAAACATTGAAAGGGTAAACGGGTTACCTGTTGAAAATCCCTTATTTCATTTATTTAAGGTGTGTATAAGTTCATGTAAACTCGTCCTTTGTGATAGTTTATGCAAGAGGTAGTTATAACTAGAATTATGTCAAATTACGTCATTGATAAAGTACCCATTACATATTTGAATGTTTATACAAGCCCCGAGCATCTTTATGATAATAAAAAGAGTATTGAAGATGTGATGCTTTACCATTTTACCGATGAAATCATTTTCAAATCAAGTCACAACTTAAAGATTTTGAATGGGTATAAAGTATCCATTAAAATGAAATACAAAAGATGTAACCTCGGTCGATCCTTTCGAGACACATGGATCAAATCATGGAGATCATGGGGACACGTCGTGGTCAAAGAGTACTTGGACTTAATCAAATAAAAATTATGATAACTGTGATATAAATGCACAATTTTATAAATGCACGCGTAAGGTCGTCACAAGATGGAGAATAAGGAAGGAAGTGGTGCCATCGTTCAAATACATTTTTGAGATGCCATTTAAAACATAATTATATGATACACAACAACAATTTTTTTTACAACGTTTCAACTTTCAGCAGCCCAGCAACTTTTACCGTTATTGATCCAAACATACCCAAATAAATATATCCAAATTGATCTAAACCTTGCCATGTTGATACTCTTACCGACCAATTAATTAGTTTTTAATTTTGTTGATACAAACTCTTTTTTAAATAAAAAAAAAACGAATAACATTATCTTCTCCTGTTAAATACGCGTTCTGGAAGTTATGAATTGTAAAATAATTACAATAATCCGGCTAAACTTTAACTTTCATTCAGTGGCGTAGCTACTAAGGGGCTAGGCGGGGCAGTGCCCCAGGGCCCTCAAGCTCAGGGGGCCCTCGAATCTTTACCAGAAAATCTCAATCGAACTCAACTTTTGAAAATTTCTGCCATCTTCAAAATAAAAATGACAGGTGACACTCGAGTTTAATCATGGAAACTCATTTGTGAGTAATTCCAAAGTTATAATTAGGTACCCTATTTTTCGTCACGCACGTCACGTCACGATATGCGTTTTTGTGATTCGCGATTGTGAATTTCGAGTCAAGATTTTTTTCGAGAATGGTTAAAAAGTTATTGTATCAGGAGTAAGTAATCGTATGTCAATAAATTTTTTGTACTGGTCCATACAAAAGTTCAATTTTATTTGATTGTAGTCCGTCAAACCGTCAAATGTCGTAACACTGACGGCGATAAAGTGTTTGCCGGGGATTCCCCAACGACGCCTTGTATCGTATCATTTTCATTCATTCACGTTTCGCTTTCCTTTTACTTGTAACGTTGTCAGTGAACAGTGAGAACCTTCTTGAGTACAATCTTACATAAATATTGCATAAATAAATCAGAAAACTAATATTATGGACAAAAAAAATAAACCCGGTGGTGCATTTAAACGCAAACAACGCCAAGAAAGAGAAGAAAGTAAACAAAAATTGCCCAAAATTGACAAGTTTTTTAGTCAGCCTTCTGCAAGTACTTCTGGATCAAATATTTCTATTGATAATTTTTGTAAAAAGCTTGCATGGCGATAGGTTAAATAACAGTAAACTGGTGCAACGTATCTATGATTAAATACATATATAATAAACCCTTGAATCTTTCCTATTTCGTTTTATTGCCCAATACCTACACCAAGTATAAAAATAATTGTAATTTATGTTGTTAGTGTTTAATAGTTTTATTACCTGGCCATGCACGACAAAGAGCTGATGATAAAGTTGTTTAGCATTTTTAAAGTATTTGTATATTTAATGATTTAACTTCAAAAAACCTTACCAGTTTTGATAGCAGTGGGCCCCATTTTTTTATTTGCCCCAGGGCCCTAGATTACCTAGCTACGCCACTGCTTTCATTTAAGTACTTAACGAAGAACGAATCCTTTGTTTATTTATGAGTACGTATGGTGGGTATTTAAAAATATAAATAGTCCATTTATTTATAACAAGATAATCTGTTATTATAAACCATATATATTTATAATATAAAATACATATGATTTTTACTAAATCACATTAAACCTTCAATCCTGCATTAATGTAATTTTTTGTGAATGTAGAGTAGGTTTTTGACCGCGATCTACCCTAAAGACATAGATGAGATCTACTGTGGGACGAGCTTGCCCAAAAGCAACCTATTCACTCGCCTTAAATAGGTCTGGGTTATATGCACTCGGGAATATAGACGCCGGCAAGGACCACTCCTTGGCAGTGCGCAGTAAAAAAGAAGAAGAAAAGCGCTTTGTACGGCATCTTGGGATATCAACCAAGTGAGGATATCCCGCCGTGCGTCTACATTGCCGATGGTAAAATGGTGAAGGCGGAATGAGCTCATGCAACTCCCGAGCACACTCCCCGTAGCACATCCTATTAAATAATAACCTAACATAAAATTGTATCATTGCAAATAAAATTATAAAACTGTTTTAGTAGTTCTATTTCTAGATAAATTAGAATCAGTTTCTATATAAAAAGATCTAAAATACTACTTAATAATAACTATTCTTAACTCAAAAACTATCCTAAAATTACCTAATTTAGATCATAATCCTCGTAAGAATTTAATAATACCGAATGCCAGGATCTAAGATAAGATAAAGTAAAGATAAAGTAAACAATAATCATAAATACTCTTTATTACACAAAAGAAATTTATAAATAAATACATTAAATTCTTACAGAAATATAGTACAACATTCGGCTTCATAACGACTTCTACCAGGCAATCTAGCAATGTACGGAAATATAAGTAGGTATAATTACAATAACATATGATAGTGCAAACAAATCACAAAGCAATTAAGCAGAAAAACAAAAAAGGTAGTATATGTAGTAATGATAAAACTAATATAAGTACAAAACGTAATTAAGCATACAAGCTATAAACAAAGTGCGAGAAGTGGGAGAGAAAAGAAAAGGCAGATTAATCTTCAGTCAGATATAGAGATTTTGCTAGCCATTCTAAAGACTCTAAAGATTTTACCTGTCTGATTGACTCAGGTAAGCAGTTTAATGTAAATTCATAACGGCAATATCGGTACACTTGCGTTTTTGATTTTATAGTGCTTTACAATATACATATTAATATGACCAGAAAGATTAAAAATTAATATTTATGATTCTAAATAGAGATTATTCATTTTCTATTTGACATAATACACATAAAAAGATTTATGTGTATTATTATGTTAGATCACTAAATTATCACAAAAGTAATCAGTAATGTTACGAACGGATACTATTATACCAAACACAGATATCAAATCTACTTTCAGTGATCATATTCACAATGATAATAATTTACATGCTTTTTCATGCAATATGTCCTTTCTTATGCATAAAATTTGTAACAAAAATGTAAAAAAAATTGTTACAGTAATAACAATTTTTTGTTGTCAGGTAGATTATTTTTTTGCGTAATCAATACATTACAGCGATACATCGAGTTGAATATCACATGAAGTCACACCTTTGTACATAATAGTGACTTAGCGAACCTCCACTCTTCAAATTTAATACATAATAAAGTGATTTCTTTCAAAACTGAAGCAAAAAAAAAAAAAATGTTTACCCAGGCGTCAACCCACTTAAAAGTATTAATTTGTCTAAATTCCGTTAACAACACTGCCATCTATCACAGGAATCTTTTAAGGAACTGTAGTGTGACAGATGTGTTGCAGATATCCGATGTATAAATTTTTAATGTTTGCGTCGATGATATTCGGTTTTAATAAAAAAAATCAATATCATGCTAGATATTCTTCATAAGAGTATTCGATTGAAAGCTACTTTTTGACGAATACAAATATTCGTATATATTTCAGCACGGAAAACACAACAGCTTAAAATATACTCTGTTTTTACAAAACTTTAATTTTTTTTCTAGTAAATAATCTTCAGTAGAAATTTTGGTATTGCTACATTTCTAGCATATTCCAAAAATTGGTGAAATAATTTAAAGTTTAGATCTTCAGATGACCTCTGTCAACTCTCCCATGGGCTCGGGGTCTGGAATCAGGTTATTCTAGACATTCGTCATTATTATTGTCTGTTCCATATTTGGTTATTGGTAGTATGAGTGTATTATAAATGGAATATAAGTTTCTAATAACTGATATTATATGGATTATTACTGTAATGATAATTTATTACTTCTTCAACTGGGGTAGTTGGCGAAGTAATTAATTATTGTTGCAGTATATCCTAAGTGAATGTAAGACATCTTGGACTCGTTACCGCTTCTTCTGTTTACCCCGCGAACCATTCAGATTTACCTGTTGATCGACTTTAAAAACTTTATAGACTGTGATTGTAATAATATTATGTTAACATATGAGATCTATATGCAAAAGGTGACCAGTAGCGAGACCCCATTGCGTCCACGCCGATCATTCTCCGTCAATCCTGCGGTGGACGTGATCCAGAGAAACGCATACAACTCCTATCTGGAACGGCTAGCTTTCAACAACAGGAACTTTCTAGATCGTGTTGGAAAGAGAGGTAAGAATGGAGCAACAAGAGGATCATAAAGTAAAACATCAAACTAATTATGATATTGATTAATCAGAAATACTACGTGTAAGTTACTATGAAACTTTGTAGTAAAATTCAGTTTTTGGTTGTTAATAAATTAGAGAATGGGTGTGTAGATTTTGCTATTGTAGATTATTTTGATGAAATGAGAGCCTCGTAGATGCCTAAGTAGATAAATATTTATAAAAAAGTAGATTTCAGTAGCGCGAAGCCTTTTTTAGATAGAGTCGCTAGATAAGAGTAGCATTTGCATGAAAGTACATGATTGTATCAATTTTAATAATTGATATTAATTGTTATTTATCTCCGTTTCTAGGTCCTACGCATCTCAACAGACTGGCGAACTGAAAAAAGAAAATCTAAAATATAGATCTATACGTGTAATCGACGCGTCGATATTAAGGATGAAGTTTTGTGTACAAATAATTGTTAATAAGTATAAAAAAAGAGAAAATTTGCCATAAAAACATTATCTAGTCATACTCGAACTACATTTTTAAATAAATAGTTATTTATGATTTGTATCTATTTATTATTACAATACCTGGGTGAGATTTAGTTTCTGGTTTGTTAGCCGATCAAAGTCAAGATTCCATATTCAATCTTTTTAAAAAGTAAAACGTCAATAGCTATAATAGTTTTATGGTAATGTATTTATAAACATATTTTATAGCTATACCTATAATTATTATACTAATGTTTTGGTTAACTTTAATTTTCGAAATTTGTTAAAGCGCTTTAATGTGTAACCATTGTTTTCTCTATACAAATTTAATAGATATTCAGGTAAATTATACAGAAAACATTAAAAACTTAAAAAAGACACCACTTTTATAAGGATGTAGGATTTTTTTTTAAATAAACTTTCAAATAAGAAACGTCTCAATTTAATAATAGACCATATTCAATGACTTCAAAATATTTATTCAGTAGTTTCAGTTGTTCATAACGCTTACCAAGATTAGTAATCGGCGTCGGCAGCTCTAAAGTTTGTTTGCAGGACATTCACAATATTCCAACTACGTATACGAGCCCAACAATTCTAGCATAACTTTACGATTAGTTGCCAACTACTCAAGTTCATGAATTTCAGTTATATATGTGTGAGAGAGATGTGAAACAGGTTATCCACTTGATTTGTCCATATATTCGTCAGTGACAACTGTAATACCTAATTATCTAAGTATTAGAGTAGTTACTGAATTGTAAGCATCAATGACATTCCAAAGCGTAGATAGAACGTCTCGCATTGTTTTTAGAATGATCAAATGGAAACATTTTATAATGTTTTTAATTATAAATGTTTAAAAAAACATTTTATTAACTACAGATCATGTGTCCAAAAATAATTATTTATGTTCAGCTAACAATAATCAGCCGGGACAAGTTCTCAATAAGTATAGATAAAACATTACGTTTATTATAAAAAAATATCTTAATTAAACATGAGACTCAGAATAGTAATATCATAAATGCAAAAGTTTGTGATGATGAACGGTTGTATGTATGTTAGTTACTCATTCACGCAAAAACTATTGAACGGATTTTGATGAACTTTTATATACGAATAATTCTAAGTCCAAATTTAATATATAGGCAACTTTTTATCCCACTCAACAGTTCCCTAGAGAACACACTGGGCCGTTGGTAAAAAGCTAGTACGATATAAAAAGAAAACAAGTGATAATTTGTCTCTCTTTGTAGATAACTGGTGATAGCTTACTATTCTCCATCGACGTTTATGGAATTTAATATTGCTCTAGTAAAATAATACGATATTATTGGCGGGAATTTCATGGTACACTATTTTCCGCATGTTGCCATCTTTGATAGCTCACATTATAGAAACAAACATATGAATTGAGAAGCAATGAATGTAATGTTGTTATATATTTATTTAATATAAAGGGATTTAATCGATATAAAAAAATGGTAAAAAAGTCTTGTTAACTCTTTAAATTGCTTTCATATAAAAGGTCTCAAACAACGACAAGATAATTTACTGACAGTATACAGTATTTCTGAAATTAGGGTAGGCAACGAATCGTGAGCAGAAAAAGGACTTAGAATTTAAACTTTCATATCCTTGGGGTAAAGGAAACCACTATCACACTCGATTTAAGATAAATGACCGTGAAAATTCAGTTTTCTTGTGGTTGCTGGCAATGTAACTGCTAAGAATGCTCCGTGGAGAGGCGAAACAGATGTAGAGTGGTTGATTTTTTCTGCGAGATTTTTTTTGCCCATGTGAATTTGTATAGGGACGTTATTGATACTGACTAGTTGTGGAAGTTGCTAGATACAACGGATTGGAATCCCGCTAAAAATCATCTGATAATATTAAATTAAATACTTAAAATAAGTATTTTCTAACGAAAAAATATCACAAGCATAACTATTATACCAAATGCTGATTCGCAACTGAAACCTGCAAAATTTTTAATATTACATAATATTCATTTTGAATACTTTACAGTGTAGGCAGAAAGTCGCAGTTCAGAATTTTAGGTAGTCGCAGTTCTCTTAATTGAACAAAATCAGGTGGAATAAAGATATTACCATTAGTCCATATCGTAGACAAATGAGGTTGAATTTCTTACGCATATCATAGTTCATTAACACTTGTGCATTTGGGGAGTGAAGGCTAGCAGTGGTCGTGTGAAGCGCCGCATGCCGTCGCTGTCCATTGACCTGCCTATGTCTGTGCTGCGGCAGAAGCTCAGCCTCGAGAAGGAGAGGAAGGTGCAGGCGCTGCGTGCTGCAGCCAACAGGAACTTCTTAAATGACATCGGCAAACGAGGTGGGATCACGCCATCTATTTGGTTTAGTTATAACGCTTGTACACGTTTTGACCGTAGTTTTCAAATCGTGAGATCTTGTATACGACTTCCATTGGTAATGGTGTGTACACACAGCGGCACCATAATTTACCACGAGGGAAAAACTTGTACAAGCTCACTAAAGGTTAATTAATGGCTTTTATAGCATAGATACTCTAATCGAGGACTAACTTTAGTACCAGATTCAAATGATTATCCAACCAAAAGTCAAGACGTCTCAATTCAGAACATAACAAAATAGAGAAATCGTCATTCTTTTCTGTCATTGTCAAGTTGCACAGTGGTGTTAGTAGATGTATTCATATCAGACGCTGTCAATAGTTTAAACACAGTACTGACTTTAATCCTTGTTTTATATTAAGATGGTATGTATTCCGTGGCATACAAAATAATATTCATTAATGCGCTGTATATGTGTATCCACATCTAACGTAAGTGAGCCTGTGGATCGCATTATCAATGATCGTCTTCATCCAACATTTACAGCAAGAACGTTTTATCTGCGTCGGCTTGTATGAATGCGTTCGGCTCTTATTCCTTATGACAATCGAGATTTCACACTTGCCACAGGGTGTCATTCAATGTGCACAGACAATACAAATATTACAAAATGTCGTATTTTAATATGATATTGACGTAGTTTGGAAGCAAGGAATCGAGAAGTGGTATATTAGCGAATTTCTTTGTTCAAATACAATTTATAAGCACACAAATATATGACAACTCAGTTGTCATATCATATCATATACGTGATCAGATCGAATAAGTGCGTACCTGTCTGGCGCCCGGTTTAAGGCATGACATGGCCTACTCTGTTTTTCTAAAAATGAAATTTCATATATTTTCGAAACGCTATGATATGGATACTAATTTTTCGATAATTTATGATGCAATGGAGGTAACACCTGAGACCTCCTGATGACCAGATGACCAGATAATTATCACGGATATGATATAAAAAAAATAAATAAGATCGTTGCAACTTTTGCCTTGATTTCGTTCGAGGCAAACTTTGTAGGCTATCTGTTAAGGCTGGGGGCACTATTATGAGAATTATTATGACTATGCCATTGTTAAATTAAATGTTGGAAATGTGAATGACGATCAAAAAGTATTACTAAGTATTAAGTTGTATTATTACTATAATTAATTAAAATAAACGATTTTAATGACTTACCTATAGTTACAGTAAAAAAATATTTGTAGTTCTGGACACTCACTTACTTCTAGTTCATCCTATATAAAAATGCTTGTGAAATTTGATATATAAGTAATCTGTTATATATTCTGAGAATACTGTCGCACAGAAATTAAAAATATAATGGATTTCGAAAATTTAGTTAAAACATTCTTAGATATAATATCTACTTTTTTGACAACCATAATAAATTTGTGATGATATTAAAAACTCTTTTTTATAAGAAAATACTTTTTACTTCTGTTAGAAACGTAAGAATATATAATATAACAAAATATAATTGACATCAAACATGATATTTTTAGAAATACAATAAGAGAAACTAAATAACACCCTTCTTTGGTTACAAACCCTTGTCATATATACTTTACTATAATTTAAATATTTACGGACCAAATTGTTCTACTACTTATGTAAGAGCGTCTCCAGAAATAGTTTTTATAAGTACTGAGCATAAAGAGTAGAGAAAAGAAATAATAATCAATATTGTACAACAACGTTTTTCAATCTGCGGGTCGCGACCCCTAGAGGAGTCGTGGAGTGCCTTACTCGGGGGTCATCGGCAAAAAGAAAGGGTTATTTAAGGTTCACTTCAGCAAAGTTGAATTTTTGTAAGAAGGATGGAGTCATGAAGTATCAAATCGTGTTGCTACTTTTGAGTTCAACAGGTTCCAAAATAAAAGAAAGTTATAAATCTTTTTTCCCGCCGTAGTTTTGCGAACCGATTGCGTAGTTTTCGACTTTCACAAGTGTTCCATAAAAGCCTAACCTGAATAAACAATTTTGATTTGATTTGATTTTGTGGACTAAAGTATAACCATTAGCCGACTCATGAAGTATCAAATCGTGTTGCTACTTTTGAATGAATAATAGGTTCCAAAATAAAGAAAGTTATAAATCTTTTTGCCATCGTAGTTTTGCAAACCGATGGCGTAGTTTTCGACTTTCACGAGTGTTCCGTAAAAGCCTAACCTGAATAAATAATTTTGATTTGATTTGATTTTGTGGACTAAAGTATAACCATTAGCCGTCTAAAGCAAATTCATAATGACAGAAGAGATAACGTCAAATGGAGACCTGTTGACTTAATGGTATACTCCGTGTACTAAAATTAGTCCTTGTAATATGTAGATACAAGACGGACAGAGTATATGTTATATTCATTAAGAATAGGGGTCGATTTTTAGATCACGGCGACCCCTAATCAGTATTTGTAGCCAGGGAAATCCCATTGGGGTCAACCCAAGGGGTCAAATCGAACGCTTTCGAAAACCCTTATCTCAAATTATATTTGACTTATAAGAAATTATTCTCATTATTTCAGAAAAATATTGATTTTTTTATAAGAAATCTATAAATGTTGTAAATGTATAAATGTTGTCTATCTTCTGCACGTTCACATACAAGAAATAGTTTTCCACAATCGATATTTATTTTAATATATAAGTGTTTTTGTTTGTTACAGGTTTCCAATGGGTCCCATCATTAGAAGCCGGAAAATATTACTAAGTTCAGTTTTACTTCAACCCGTGTTACATTATATTGAACTGAAAGTTATGTATAGAAAATTATTAAAGATATGTGATGATACAGATTAATATTATATAGCTTAACAAATTAAAATAAATGCAAAACCATACGTGTATGTAGGTAGAGTAATGGCAATATAGAAAATAGAATAAGTACGTATTGAAATTTTCCATAAATGTTCCATAAATAAGGTATAAAGTATGTTTTTAGTTTTAAAACTTGACATATTGAATGTCTTATTTTGAAAAGTTTTGTATACTGTAAACTTTTTAAGCCGAAAATATTTACGAGTCTCATGGTAGATAAAATACGTATTTAAAAAACACTCTAGTTTTGATAATACATGTGTATAAATTCTTGTACCTATAAATTCTTCTTTCATAAAAAATGCTTTTATTGTTAATAAAAGGAAAAATGAAGTATATTGTGTGTATGCATTTTAAAAAGAACAGCTATTAAAATTCATAAGTCACGACTTTTATTAGGAAAATTTAATGCTACCGATTTTATTCTTGTAGATTATGATGTGAATTAGCAAAAACAATAAAGTGGTTTGAGCTACATGTGGTATTTTTATTTTGAAATCAGTACATTATATTTATTTCAGAAATAGTTTGAAATTTGTATACCTACACGAATCAAATTGCTTCTTTCTAAAAAGTAGCTTTTACTTAATGGAATCCGCATAACATTTATTGTGGTAGTGGCTATTTTTTTAACATTATTTGAATTCGCTGGTAAGTTCAGACGCTAGATTTAATGTAACTATTGGTACATTATTATAAACGTGACCTAAACTATGTTTTAAACCCTTCGCATTAATTGATACTATGGTACAATTAAATGAATTTACGAATTGATAGACATGCTTGCGGTTATGTCACCAAAAATCTAATATCGACCAAATGTATGAAAACTGATACATATCCAACCGTGACGTGTATCAGATAACGAGTGATAGAGAGTGAGCGTTTTTTAAGAAGTTTGTTTCGTGAAAATATTTTGAATTTCAAGTTCAATATTCTATTATAATAAGTATCTGCACTAATATAACCTTTATAGAACTTGCTTTGTACCATCTACAATAATCGGCAACCTAAGTTGGCAACATGTTACGAAAATGGATTTATTATACAACAATTTACAATTTTCATCGCTAATAATTTAGCCTACGTGCGCAGTGGTGAGTTTCTGTCTCCTGTCACCGTGTTTGATAGTTGGCTTGTGTATTTGAACACGTGACAATTATATTACTTCTATAGAAATCACAAGAATAATAGATCACTATGACAAAAAATTACCAATGCGCTCTTGTCCTTATTATGTGATTGTGATCGTCAGTCACTGCCTACTATCTGTGTAATGTCAGTTAAATTATAATAAAGAAACATAAATGCCCATACTAACTTTACTACACTATAGAAATTATAAGATTCTTATGTACATCTAACGTTTTCATTTTATTAAAACAAAATGAGAAAAAACACTGATGTTAAATACGTTTACAAAATCTTCAATTGAGCTGAGCAATAATAAGTCGATATTTATTGTGAACATTATCGAAAATAGATCGAACTCCCTCTTCTATAAAGCAATAAAATAAAAGTATTAGATACAATCGTTTAATGTTTTTATCTTAAAGAGGAAAATGTACGCTGATGTACTTAGGAAAATTATTGTTATGCCGACAAAAAATATGATGATTATAAATGAGTTATAGGACAGACTGAGGTTTTAAATTTTTTATCTTACCGATCAGTTACCATAATTTCAGATCTGGATAACTGATATAACTTTCGATAAACAATACAACTTGTTTATCGAAGGATAGTACATACTCATTAACTAAAAATATATTTAAGATAAGTTAATTTTTCAATCACTACATTAAAAAATGTGAAAATAAGATAGATGTACTTACAATGGTGCCGATTCGGTTATGTGGTATAACAGTCGACACTAAATTAAACGAAAATATCTATTTTTTTAATTTATGTCTGTTTTACCATTATTCCGTAGTAACATTTAATTAAACTATAACATACTAAACTTTACTTTTATTATCTTAGTTATTTTCACAACTGAAAACGCAGTTTGACAATTTCAAACCTATATTAAATCTAGTTTTCACACTACTATTACTATTACTGTCAAGCTATTTGATACATTTTAGTGTAAGCAAAAACAAAATATATTATTAATGACATGAAAGCTTTATGTCAAAGCCACTTCTTTAGGTCGCCACCCCCAGGGGTTCAAATACACCACTTTGAGGATCAGTGCTCAAGAAGTTTACTTTCTACAGTAAAATGGTAAAGCTGATACGGTTATAGTTAAATCTCTATTTACATATATATTAATTCAATAAAACTTGGTTATACGTCTGCAAATATTAAGCAAGTACACAAACAACTAAGCAATTTTTTTTTAAATTCTAACGTACAAATAAGAGAAACATTATATTATATTTTTATTGTCCTAATTTAACTTAATCTAAATAAATTAAAAAATAAAGCGTCAAGCTCGTATTGAAATGCAGAGTCTGTCACGTCATAGAGTTTTAGTCAAATTAAACCTACTTCAAAAGGTAATAAAGTTTTTATTTTATTGGTACCCTATCACGTTACGGCGCTCGACGACGACTTCGAGGCTGTTTTTAACAGAATACCATAGCTCATTTCCTTCTTAGGTTTTCTTATATTAAATAAGATCAATAATATCATCTTTTCTTAAATAAATAGACTTTTCTTATAAAGATTAAAAGAATATTTCCAGTTTCTTTGCATATCATGTCAAGGTCTTTCAGAGATATGTTTAATAATAAATTCAAAAGTTCTCTTTGTTCCAACTGGCAAATAGTTTTACATACATTTCATATCTGAGAATTTTTATAATAAATTCTTTGTTGTGTTATGTACACATAGCATCGCATCAGGCGTATGTATGTAAAATTAATTTTAGTTTAGCTTTACATACGGTTAGACTTAATTTTCAACAAACTAAGGCTAAAAATCATTAGAGAAATTTAACCTGTTTTTGACTATACATTTAATCGGAAAGAGTCTAGAAACAA